TTACAAAGACCATTTTCACTATCAGTGTTTTACTGTCACTATTCAACCTGTTCTACTTCTGACAATGTTCTTTACATCGTGTTTTCAACAGTTGGTAATCAATGTATATATTCAATCCACATATATATAAATATTCTTTTTCATTGAAATATTTTTTCTCAGCACAGTTGAAAGAGAGACTTAATTATATCCATGTTTCCTAAAGCAAAGGCATATAGACACTGTGGGTGGTTCTTGAAACCCTTCCCTCCCTCTTCTTGTGGTGGTCCCTAAGTATCTGGCAGCAGGAACAGCTCACATATATGGCTACAAATGCTGAGTCTGAAAATCATATATTCTCTGCGTTCCCACGGCACAAAGCTCAGTTACGGATGTCACCACAGACAAGTAATCACCACAATTACCATGAAACTTCCAGTTGAATGAAAAGTCATTGGAAAAGAGAAAACCATAGAGGAAAAAGGGAAAAAAAAAAAGTTCAACAGATGAAGAAAAACAGAAAGAAAGAGAAGCTCATATTGATTGTGTTGCACTGACAAAAAGATGCAGCTAATGTCACCAATGCTTTAATTCACTAAAGAAGGGGGCTAGTCTTGGAAAAATATCTAAATTACTTTCTGAAAACAAGAGTGAAAAAGTTTGAAAACAACTTGCTTCACCAATATCTACTAAGTCTTTAAGCATATCTTTGATGAGATACTACCTTTTTTTCCTTGGTTCAGAAAAATTAAATAGATCTAAACTTTGATAACACTGAATAAAGTCTGAAAATCCAGATGTGGAGAAGAGTTTGCCATCATTTTCTAATATACCTTTGATAATGCATTCTATTTTGTTACAACATTATTTTAATGCCTTGACCAAAATAAACATAAATTGTAGATTAAGACAAAACATATGTTTACAAGAACAAAAATTAGAAGATACCAAAAATGGTCTAAAGAGGGGACAGTTTTTAGTATCATGAAATACAGTCTTGACCACAAGCTATTCTTCCTTCAGAAACTGTTTCACCAAGATTTTCCTGTGGAAAGAGACCATATTATCATCCCTTTATAGATCGCATACTGAAGTCAAAGAGCTATTATCACCGGAAGTATCCATTTTTTGGAGGGTGGGAGAGAAGAAGAGTAATGAGAGGCCTAGAACTTGACTTCAGAGAGTGCCTGGTGTTTGCACACTCAAGGCCCCAGAGCTCTCCCTGATTCCAAGTATAAGCAAGCAAGATGTTCAGCAGAACACTCACGTCGATCACTGGATTTTTCTGGTGCTGCTCTCTATAAAATGGGTGGTTTTGTAACATTCAGCTTGCCTAGTATCACATATGAATGAATTCCCTAGGGAAGAAAGAACTGAATTCAATTCCCAAAGGCAGTATTCAGTATTCAGCTGCCTAAATTATACTACTTCCTGAAGTACATTCATTCCCCATCCATCATTTCAACAATCAGAACAATGATCTTTCACTACACAGCCCCGACACTAAAACATGCCCAGCCTGTGCAGGAAGACAAAAGTCTCACAGAAAACAAAGGGAGATGAGAGGTGGAGAGAGATTATAATCTGTATAATGATCAGTGTGCACGTGTATGGAAATTAAGATTGTACAGGCAGTCTACAACTCTGAGACCTCCTAATTTCAAGTATTCAACTTCAAACGGATATAACTACTTCAGAAGAAAAACATTTATGCATAGTTTCCCGGGTTTCCAAAAATGCTTGCAAATTAAATTCTTATATGCCCATAAAATGGGACAGAAACACTCAGCTCTATAATCTCCTCTGCATTTTGAACTGATGGAGCATCTATTGACAGGTAGCTTGCTAAACTCTCAGTGAACCAGGATCAGAGAGAAAATGGGGTGACTGAGTGGGTTTCATGGAGACTTCAGCAGCACAGATGTGCCAAGGTTCTGTAGTCTCAGGAGTCTAGTCCACTTGCTGGAAAAGGGAGAAGTACATCCTCGTTATGGCTATTAACATTTCTATAGGCAAAACTCAAAAGTGGCACTATGCCACTGGTCTACGGCATAGTCTGGTGAGTTAGTGGGGTTTTTAACAGTTCAAAGCTGTATTAGAGCATGAACAATTAATATAGCACACATTAAGTTTGAATAGTGAATGAGATGAGTTGATTAAGCCAAGCAAGAGAATAATCAAAGTTCACTTATTGGCTAAGTTGAATCATCAGTGAACAGAGAACGATGAACTGAAGCAGTCAAGCCTAAACCAGTGCTGCCCTTCACACCTAAGTGCACTGACCTTACCTCTGCATAGTCCTCAGCAGTACGAATCACTGCTGTCATGGGCATCCATCTTTTCAGGTCATTCTCCGTAAGTCTGATCCTTTCTCTATCATCCCTCTATTTTGTCCTAGTTCTGCTTCTTCCTGATAGATCTCCTAGGTCTTTTTTTCTTTCCATGTTGCCATGCTTAATTTTCTACTTTGTATTCCTGTCTGGGGTGCAGTCTACTTGTACAGCAAATCCTGAACAAGTCTTCCCCAGTCCCTTATCTGACTATCTTCACATCCACCTGACCACCTATCCACCTGCATCATCTTGTTCTGCCAGTGCAAACTGCCCTTTTCAACTTTGGATTCGATTTGTTTCTCCAAACAGGTCTCCAGACCATCGGAATGACTTCACCAGCAGCACTTCCACTCCCATTCTTTCATGGATGCCTTGCACAATCTCAGTGCTTGATCCATCTGCAATATGCTTCTTTTTCTCCCTCACTCATTTATCATCTCCTATCCCACTTACTCTGTCCAGGTGTTCACAGTTGTTACGTCAGTTTTTGGCTCTTGCCCCAATCTCTTTCATCCTGCCACATTGTTTATAGTTGCTCCCCCCATCACATTTAATGACTCCCAGATCTGTCATTTTCTTCCAAATTACTCGGTCAGTCTGCCTCCCCCTCCACTGGCTCTACTTATCCATCTACCCCCATATCTCCTCAAGAGTTCGCATTATTTTCTGCATTTAGTTCAGACAGCTTTCCTTCTGTTACCTACCAGAAGAGAAGAACACTCAGAATATAAGAGAAACTGAACCACGCAATAATAAAAAGCTGCGTTACAAGATAATTTCTTCTGAATCTTACATAGCTCACACCCATGTGAAGGATCAAATTTATTAAACTCTAAGTCTGCAAGTTGTTCAGTACAATCATAAGGATCAAAACTAGGCCAAATTTAATCAAGGTTATACAGGAACAGACAAGTATAGTCCAATACAAGGAAAATCTTCTGCCAAATTTCAAATTGCTCCTTCTAAACGTGAGGATATTACCTATTTTAGTTTCTTTTCTTCCAAATAATCACCATTTTTTTGCGCCCATTAAGTAAACAGGATAGGGTATTTTGTAGCCTTTAACAAAAATTAACAAGCAATTAGCATAGCACATTTCCATTCTGCTATTAGGGTTGGTGCATTTGTCAACATCTGAAAAGAAGGCCTACTAATGGGAAGCATCAAGTCACTGGCACTCAGATAAAATTACATTACATTCACATTTTTAATAAAGGCAGTAACATGCACATTCTCCATCTGCAGCTTTAGCAAATCCACATAAAAACTATCAACCATTATACTCTGGAATAACTTTTACATAAATGCTTGAGTCTTTCATTTAATTTGTGCTCTGGACTGCCTTCCAAGTCAAAAATGCATCATCCTTCTTACTCTTTTTTTAAAATTCACTTTGTGCCTGTTCACTAGTGTCTGTAGGATCCTCATACTTAAGTACTTAAAGATGGTTAAACTTGCTTGTGCTAACATTCAAGTATCTATTTGTATCTTGTTTTATCCTTTGGACAGTTAGTTGAAAGGATTACCTAAAATTATGCTCTAAAATTTATAGTAGCTTTAGGAAAAATGGATGGATGGCTACCAACGTTCCATATTTCTCTTATCTTTTGTTGTTTTTGGAAATTGTTTCCATGTGTTAACAAATATTAAACAGGGGTAAAAAAACCTCCACTTTAAGATTCCAGTGAATTTCTAAGATCACCGTACTTAAAAAAATCCATGACAACTGTTTGATCTTGAATTACACAACTTCTGTGTACAACATCTTATACATTTTTACACTGATTTCAAATTTTGTGCTTTACTGTCAAAAGGTGCTGATACTACACCAGTAAATTCTGTGCCAACATTTTCTCTAGAATATCAGACATTTCTCAAAACAAGTTGCTATTTATTAACTGAAAAAAAAAGTTACAGGTACTGGTAAGACAACAGCAAGAACAAGATGAAAAACATTTCACATTAAATAAGTTTGATCTTAATTTGTAGAGTACATAACTTCTACATTTATCCCACCTAAGAAGTATATCAGAGTTCCAATAGTTGTAATCTTTGAGGCTAAAATAACATCCAGAAATGCTTATTTTTCTGAATAAATTCTGATCAACAAATGCTATTGTATGAAATTATACAGTGCTACATGAACTAGTGGGTATCTTGTCACAAAATATTACTTGGTAACTATACATAAAGTATTATATACCTATAACAATCTCTTTTCTGGTACGTTTTTAAGGGTTGGGCTTCCACAGGGGAAAAAAGTATTCTGAAAACATCTTCAATTTCTATCCGTTTTGGAGTTTTATATATTAAAAGTTTATGCAATATAAAATTAACTTAAAATAAAAATTCTATTGATGTTGCTTTAAGAATATTTTTTTTTAAAATGCAGAAAATAACATGTGAATGTTTTTAGTAAGAACAGTGTGATTGCAAAGGAGTACATGAATTTTGAAATAAAACTTCCAGAGATTAATTTTTCAGAAGTGCCTAAGGACTCAATCTGATCCTCTCCAAACACTCCAGGTGATGTATAATGGGCATATTATAGGGCCAGGAAGGACTGAAATCTGAAACTCTGGTACTGAGATATAGTTCTACCTTCAAAATCCCCATATTAAAAAAAAAAACAACAAAAAAACGAACAGAAAAAAAGGTCTCACTGGACAAAAATTATTTCTACAGTACCTTCAGGGGCGATAGCACTAGGACACACATCTTTTAGTAGATCTCCCAAAGTATGCAACTGTCCTCCTGAAGCAATTGGTCGAAATAGCTTCTGTATAAAAGGTCTCTCTGTTGTTGCCTGTTTTAATAGCAAAATTAGCAAAAACAATGTAAGGACCATGCAAACATGTAGTATTACTATTTAAGACAGGCAGAAGATAGGACAGAACAAGAGGTTACAGCAGAAGCAAAGTCTGGCACTTCCATTTCCCCCCCTCCCCCCTTGCATCCCATTCATATCATGAAATGCAGGGGAGTTTTTGTTTGTTAAGAATTGAAAGTAAGTTGACACTCCAGAAAACTATGAAGATAATTTATAAACAGTACCATAGATACAAGTAAATCCTATTTTTTAATTAAAAAAAAAACACCCAAACCCTCTGTTACGGGAATTGGATCTGCTTGAACAAAACATTTCAATATATTATAAATTTTCATAAAACAAGCAGAAAGCACAAACTTAGGAGCCCAACATAGGCCTATATGTTTTGCCAAGTGAAAGCAAAATAGTAAAAAATATCCAATACCTTCTGCAATAGTTTATCTTCCTCATTTTAGAAACACATTAAGCACTTTCAGTAGCGAACAAGTACCCTTATAGGTCAAGCCAGGTCAATTTTTTTTTCCAGTAGATTTTACATTTAAAAATTCAAACTATTTCAGCTTCAAGAAACAGAGTAGAATTAAAAAAAAAAAAGAAAAAGAAAAAAAGGAAAAAAGTGTTGTGCTTTGACAGACAACCTAGAGTCTTCTGCCTACTTAAGGAATTAATAATATGTAAAGAACATATATGCCCCATTTCTGCTACAAATATGCACATGAATTCAGAATGATTTCAACTATGGGACCTGTTAGATCTTGCACATCAGCACAATTTCTTTTGGAGACCAAAAAAGCAAATCACCTGGCAGTAACTACTGCCAGTCACTGTCCACAACACAGGCAATAAAACTCCCAACACTGCAACAGAAGCAAAGTAGCTTATGCGATCCACAGATGCACTTAAGAACTGTGGTTGTGTTAAGGTAATCCCCTTCTTTGAGTATCTGTACAAGCAACCCCATGCTCAGCAAGCATCTGATATTGAAAGCACAGGAAAAGCTTTTTTTTTTTCCCCCCTGACAAGCCGACCTCTCCTCCCAAACTGGGCACCTGAGCCACAAAAGAGTAAAAACCTCATATTTAACCAGCCCCAAAATTTTAATTAAGCTCTGAATTGCTGCTGACAAATTTCTGAGAGGAGCTAACTCCAGAAAGCAGCTGATGTTGCCTACATTCCGGGTGACTGGGCTTCAGCAAATTACACTCTTGTCACATAGTATCTTAATTGGAAAAAGCAATACAAGCTACTGCCCCTTCCAAATTTAGTCTCCTACCACTCAGAATGTGGTTCCTGTCCTACTATGGTAATTAAAAAATAGGAACAGAACAACACAACTCAACATCAAGAATTATTTTATCTCCTGGTGGAGAATTTTGGAAAAAAAACCCAACCAAATATTGTAAAAAACCTGAAAGTTAAAAATTAATTGTGAAACAAAGTTACAATATGATCTTTGTTACCTACCTACATGAAAAGCCACAAGCATTTAAGCATGACAACTTAATTGTCATTCACCTCTCTGAAACAGCAGGGCAAGGAGCCTTTTCCTAAGAGCGGTACACTACCTCAAAGTAATTCCAGGGCGGTACAGCGCAGAACTGTGGACACACAGCTACTCCTTACTTCTTGCCAACTGTCTCCAAAAATAGAAAAATAGTCTTCCAGTTTTTCTTATGAAGACTGATCAGAAGGAGCTGACTAACTGCTGTAGTCAATTCTCTGTGTCCTCAGGGTAGCAGAATGTGGATACAAACAGTGCTAATAAAACGTCTGAACATTTGAAAAATGATGGGAGGCACACAGCCAGCAGGATCTACCTCAGACAGATCTACACTTGAGAAGTGAACTCTGGCACATTATATTGAAGAAGTGTACATGCAAAACAAAAAAACCCCAAAACCCACAGACAAAAACCCTGAAACATTGTTACAGTCAAAACAATTTTCTATCATTTTGAATTTATTTTTTAAAAAGGAACTCAATTATTCACAGAAGTCTAATCACAGCTCCCAAGTGCTTACCATCTGGAATAGCAGAAGTGGAAACAAACACCAGAATAAGGATGCAGGCAAAGGTGGTTATCATCAATAGACATTTCATATAAGAATTTCCCAAGTGCATTTTGCAGTTTCTCCTTATTTAATAATAAATTACAACAAATTTTTTTCCTGGTTATCTGGTTATCATAACTTAATGCCGTATTACAGTAAGAAGGAAAAGATAAAGACACATTTTCTAAGATCTCCTACACAGTTGCTGACTGCTGCAAAGCAATAGCCTCAGCTGCTATCATGAAACATTATGTAAAATTAATTCAATTTTGTATTTTAAGTGTTGAGCAGTACAGATGTAGTAATGTAAATAAAAATCACTGGTCTCCATCAATGTTAAAACGATAAAACTTCATGTTGTTTATACAAAGATTGTGATTCACAAATAATTTCGTGGGCAGAGTATTACCCCCAACATGCTCACATTTCTCCCCTCCCATGCAGCAGATGTCTTTTGACTCTTTTAATACATAAAGCAAGTCCTGTCCTACAAACTGGAATGTTTATAGGATAACTTTTCAAAGTATCTTAGTCAAATAGCAGCATAAATCATTTTAGAAAAATCTTATTGTCACCCCTTTTGAAGTCTGATAGTTATTAATATAAACCCAACTTGACTACAGCTTTCTTCTCTAGTATTTACTACAACACCACATGAAGAAATAGCCAACATGAGTAAATGCTTACATAATGTTGCTTTTTGTACAATATTTGCTTAGTCAATCATGCAAAACTGCTCTCTGTAATCTAACCCACAAAGACATCACTGTACAGCTGTTAACTAACAAGGATCTGAAATAATCTACATTGGGGCTTAAAGCATGTATTTGTACAGTATCTGTTGTTTTTTCCTACTAAGATTTTTATAGCTTCAGCAGAACATAGAGCTTTTTATTTTATTTTACAGTCTAGCCCAAATGTAGCTGTGACCTGTTCAAAAGAAGCTGGATGCATTTGCAGGATACAACAGGTGAGAGTCAAGCAGTAATTGCTGATGACAAAATGCATCCAAGTACATGAGTATATCAGGACCTGGCCCAAAATTTGCTCTGCATTTTACACTGGCCACGTCCACAATTTAGTATCAAATAATCAAATTTTTATGAAAGCAAATATTCAACTCTAAGTTAACATATTTTCTAGAAATATAAGGACTTATTTATTGCAACTGAAATTTCTCATTCTTCTGTACTACTACATTGCACCACAAATCTTGTGCTTTGCAGAACAAATGGAGACTTTGTGCACCATCAGCAAGTTTGCGGGCAACACCAAGCTGAGTGGTGTGGTTGACGTGCCTGAAGGAGCTGGACAAGCTTGCGAAGTAGGCCCATGTGACCCTCGTGAGGTTCAAGAAGGCCAAGTGCAGAGTCTCACACCCCGGTCAGGGCAACCTCTGATATCAATACAGGCTGGGCAGAGAATGGATTGAGAGCAGCCCTGAGAAGGACATGGGGGTACTGGTGGATTAAAAGCTGGACATGAGCCAACGATGCGGGCTCACAGCCCAGAAGGCCAACCATATCTTGGGCTGCATCAAAAGAAGCATGGCCAGCAGGTCAAGGGAGGTGATTCTGCCCCTCTACTCTGCTCTCGTGAGACCCAACCTGGAATATTGCGTCCAGCTCTGGAGTTCTCAGCCCAGGAAAGACATGGACCTATTGGAGCGAGTCCAGAGAAGGGCCACAAAAAATTATCAGAGAGATGGAACATCTCTCCTATGAGGACAGGCTGAGAGAGTTGGGGTTGTTCAGCCTGGAGAAGAAAAGGCTCCAGGAGACCTTGTTGCAGCCTTTCAATACTTGAAGGGAGCTTATAAGAAAGATGGGAAAAAACATTTTAGCAGGGCTTGTTGTGACAGGACAAGGGATAATGGTTTTAAACTAAAAGAGGGAAGATTTAGATGAGATAAAAGGTAAATTTTTTACAATGAGGATGGTGAAACGCTAGAACAGGTTGCCCAGAGAGGTGGCAGATGGGCTATCCCTGGAAACTTCAAGGTCAGGTTGGACGGGGCTCTGAGCAACCTGATCTGGTTGAAGATGTCCCTGCTTATTGCGGGGGGAATGGACTAGATGACCTTTAAAGGCCCCTTCCAACCCAAATGATTCTACAATTCTGTGAAAGTTTTAAGAGGCCCTTTAAGGCAGCATAAAGCCGCACAGGATCAGAGACAAGCTATATAGTTACATATTGTGCTAGCAATTATAACTCTTTCTTCCCTATCATCCTGCTAAAAAAAAGAGTAGTCAGCTTGCCTGGTCCTTTTCAGAATCAACAGAACATCAAACACTGCATGAAATCCACAATTTAATTAGTCAGATATTTTATGCAGGATGCATCTTAAAATGAAAAACATAACTCATGAACTGCTGAGTTTTAATCTGGAAAAATCACAGTTACCCGTATTTCCATCCAGAGGAAGTGATTTGGATTTTCTGCCTAAGCAATCTGCTGCTACTCTAACAGTATTCAAACAATAAAAGTTACCAAACATACTGAACCCACAAAGTGAAAAAAGAATTCCTTGCAATTCCCACATGTGCATAAGCTGGCAGCCTAAAACCATAAAACTTGAGACTTTCCTACTTACTCCATCATATTTTCAGTAACTTGTGAAGTTCATAGTCTGTGCCGTTTTGCAATGAACCACTTTACACTAAAAACACTCTCATAATTTATATTTATCTTTTTGTTTAAACTGATTTAAACTCAACTGAGAAGCTTTAAAAGTAAGAGCTAGCAGAATGATTCATGTTATTTAAAAAGAGAAGTACAGGAAAATGAACTAGTCCTTGAAAATAAAATTGATTATATAAATTTTATTAAGTATTTACTTAAAAGTCCATTTTCCATATATTTTCTAATGTGTCTTCTGCTTTGTAGACTAGTTTGCAATTAAAAATCTCAATGCACAATGAAAAA